AGTACCCACAATTTGATAGCAGAAATTACTATCCTGATATGGCTCTGGAAAAACTGAATCATTTTCAAAACATACTGTATCTAAGTTGCCTTTTTTTTTGGAGGATATTTTCTGAAAATAAATCAAGAAAGGGCTGTTGCAGTGCAACTGTGTAGTCATGTCACTGTAAATAATGTTTTTAAGTCTTTCCATCTGGATTTCAGTCACAATACACTTGTCTTTGTTGAAGTTTGTTGAAGTTGCAAAATATCTGCGATTTTGTGTTGGGATCACTATCTTAATGGTTTTCTTCTATCACAGCACTACTCCCTGTACTGTAAATCAGGACATTCTGCTTACTCAGATGCCCTTGTTTGACTTCCCTTAAACGGTTGAAGTCCTTGGGTAAATCTTTCAAATATGGCTTGATCTCGTCTGGTATTTCACAGGGCTCAGTATGTTTTTTTTTTCATGGATAAAATATTGCAAAGTTCTGCTTGCAGGACATTCTAAAATTATATTTAAAAAGTTATCAACTCTTTGGAATTTGCTTGTTTTCTCTGTCTCTGATGCCACAGAATTATATATGCTCATCCAATATTTTCACGATTTAGGAATATGATTTAATAAAGGTTTATTTTAATTTATGTTGACCAACATTTTATTTAATGGGACTTATTAATATTGTTCTTCACGAGAAAGTCATTGTCACTGAATGAGACACCATAGACATATTATAGATATTATAGAGTTGATAGAAAACACACTTTTGTCTTTGGAAAATTCAGAAAACTTTACTTCAGTTTTCACTTGGGTATAGTAGAAGAGTCTGAACAATACTCTTCTTTTTCATGTAACATTTTTTAGAGAGCATGTATTTTTCAGATAAGTAGATGAAACAAGCTAGATGTTTGATTTCTGGTTCTGATATTGCAAAATTACAAATTCTTTCCTCTGTTTTGAGCAAGATTCTTCATAAACAACAAAAGCAAAGCAAATAAACAGAAAGTTGTATAGCCTGGCAAGAGTCTTGACTTTAAACTGTATCTTCTTGATGCATTTGAGATAACCACTGAATGCTTGTTAATTTATATAACAGAATATTGTCTGTTTCACGTTTGTCTTTCAGTACTGTGTGCATGATAATTGTAATTCCACTAGCTCCCATCAACACTTTAATTTCTCTACCCACTAACATCATTCATTCTTTTCCTAGCTTTTTTGTAGCAAATTTGTTCAAAGTTTATTTTATCTTTAGTGTATCATTTGACTAGGCTTTGATGCTTTTTGTATCTGTTTCTTTAAAGAAATCAGGGATTGAAAAGTTTGTATTATAAGACTACTGTACTGTATATACTGAACATCAAAAGAAATACTATTTATGCATCTATGTGTTAAGAAAAATATATATATAATATGTATATATGTTGTGGGTATTAATGAAATGATTTTGATTAATTCACCATTCATGACTGACAGTGATATAGATTATTCCATCAGCTCTAAATCATCTCATTAGCGAGAAACTTGATTGAGCACAGATAATGAGGTGTGGAAACCTGTTGAATGTCAAGCCTAGTGAAATTCAAGAAATGAAAAGGCTAAGAGGAACCGATATGCCCAGATAATCAAAAGAGCAACCCCTTTTGTGACATCGGTACAGGATGTTGAAAGCTGGATGGAGCTTTCAACATGCGATCTGTTTTGTGCAGATCAGTGAATACAGAACAACAATAATGATTTCAAAATGAGAATGAGCCAGTGATTCCCTATTTGCCAGACCTGAAGTCCTTTGAACATCTGTGGGATGAGAAGGGACGTGGAGGGGCATTTAGGGTACAGAGACCTGTGAACAGGCACGTACTTGATCAGGCTCTTCAAGGGGAGTTGGATAGTCCCTGCATCCTGATTAACTCATGTTAATCTGCTTAATCAGTCTACCTACAGTATAAAATGTCAATGTGTTACAAAATGTCAGTGCATCTGCTACAAAAATATTGTTATAAAAACTGATACATTTCTTTTGAGGCTCAGTATACAGTGCAAATACATCTGGAGCAAACAGAAGTGATTGGCCCAGCCTGATGCTAAATCTGATCACATGGCAGTGAATTTAAATTTGTTTTTCTTATTGTGTCATTTATTAATGTGATTGAGAGTATTATACATATACAGTAGTACAGTACGTAATAATATTTAGCCTGTATTAACTATTCAATAGAAGAGACCAGGATTAGTTAAGAAGTTGAGCACAAATCTAAATAATGCCATCTTCCAACACTGCATTCCTGTTTGGTCGTGTTCTTAGGGCCAGGACAAAGCAAGGAGGTGATATTTCCACCCAGTTCTTCCCCAGCTTTCATCACCGTCCCAGGGAATGGGTTCACTGATCCCTTCCCTCTCCTCCCGGGGAAGTGGGTCATTAGTATCAAGGCTGAAGGCGTCCTATTGGTGAGTCATATGAAGGTCGAAGGGCAGGAGCGAGCTGGACAGACGGCCGTCATTGAGACTTACAGTTGACCATGCACTGGAAGCAAGCTGGAAAAATTAATTTATTTCAACAAACATTCTTTTATCTTAGCTTAGTAAGGTATTAGATGTCTTGACTTTGGAAAAGACAAAGATTAATACTCGAATGTGTGTTGTGTTGTTCATGATTTTTACCCCCTTTACATTTGTTTAGCAAGATTACAACACATTTTGTTTGGAAGAACATTTTGAATTGTCAGCTAATCAGGAATCCCCAATTGTTTTGACTTGACTTCAGCTGCAAATCCCATGCTACACAGAGAGGGTGAGAACCTGCTCCTCCAGTTCACAGGCTTGTTGGGGCCATGTGTTATTTCAAGCTCCACGTGCCTTGCAGCAGTCTTAGCACTGACAACAGGGGCCGGACCCAGCAGGGCCCATGAGCCTCTGTGGCAGAACTAATTGTCCTGGTCATAGCTGGTCAGACATGGCCCTGGCCCAAACCTGGGATGTCAGGGCCTTATGGCGTAACCTGAGTCTTTACTGAGTGCCTTTACTGTCTAAAACCTAATTTAAAAATGAACTGGAGAAGTGGCTTGTGTTGTTCACTTCTAGTGAAGTTACAACCATCCATGGATGTAATTTTGCAAATGGTTTCTTTCACTGACAAAATAATACCATTTACCAAATCATTAATTAAAGCAAAAATGTAATCACTAAAGGATTAAGAGGATATAAGAGTAATTATGAGCAAGAAAAGTAGGACACTAAACTGAGAGAGCTGGAAAACATGGATGGAGTTCTTGATTGTGGATAGAACAGAGTGGTTTTCATGCAATGTTGCGTTCTGCTTTTAATAAAAATACTCTGCTTCTACTTCATTGGTACTTGAGATTACAGTTATCCTAAAATTGATTTTATTTGCTCGCTTTCATAGGACTACTTAGTGTTGCTGCCCAGCAGTTACTATGAAGCACCTATTCTGTCCCTGAAGGTCACCGAGCCGTGCACATACGAGTCCAGTGCAGAGAACTCCGACTGGAAGTAAGCTTGTCCACTGCAGACAATGTACAGTGTGGCCAGTTCTGTGAGGAACCCTGGTGGACCAGCCGATTTCTGTGGGCATCTACCACAAAATGTTGTATTAACTGTAAATGATTTAAAAAAAGGTGTTTAAAAAAATGTACATTCATCACTATTTTCACATTTGGAGAAAAAGTAAAATAAGCCGCACTAAAGACAGCAAAATCTACTTCACAGTCACCTGAGGCTGTGGGTAAGGAAAGGACAGCTGGCCTATGTATCTCGTGATCCTTGGACCTCATCCAGATGCTTCTTGTAACCTCAAAAAACCTGAAAAGTGCGGTGTAGTAAGATTTTAAGGAGGCAGCAGCAAAGCCTACAGCTGCAGCCGAGTGCCTGAGAGGTTTTCGGGGGGGGCTTGCTGGCTCCTCCCACACGTGACCAGTGCTGTTGATGAGTTTCGCTGTCGCCCCCTCTCCCTGCGCAGCTGCCTGCTGTACAAACACGTGCCGATGGATGGGTTCCCAGCTGCTCTGGGAACCGAGGGCCTGCACTCGACGAGGGTCGAAGTCCGCATACAGCAGCCTACGCCCCAGCACCCCGAGATGGTCTCTTTCAGTGGCCGACAGGTGCAGCCCCGCCCGGCCTGGGGATACATACAGTACACACTCTTCTCACCCCTTGTTCAATACCTCCCAGTTACTCCCATCAGAACGCAGATACCGACTCCCCAACTCCAAAGCCAATAGAGTCAAGTTCTCATTCATACCAGTAGCCATATCGTTACTTAACACTTGACCTTCTTTCTATGTATATATTTACATTATGTACAATATATTGTTGAGCTGGGCTGCAGCTTCTCTTTAGGTTTCGTCATCTGATGTCACTGTTTTAGTTAAAATTGTCTTTATTAAAAGTTTTTCATCATGTAGAATTTGGAGCTTATAATATGTATCATTTTGTACAGCAATACAGAGCACCTACAGGATGGGTGATATATGATAAGGCATCCTCGTCTTAAGTGATTAACTCATTTTCTGACTATCTCAAATATCAGACATATCAGGCCTTCATTGCAATGAGAGATCACTTTTTGCCAGCAAACAAAACCTGCTTCATTTGTCAGGAGATTTGCACTTGTGAAATACAGCTGTATTGAGTGTTAATAATACTCAGCTTTGCTTCTTGTTTGAATGTAAGTTCTGTTACCCACTTTCTCTTGCTTTTTTCTTTGCCCTGTGCAGGCCAGGCTACAACAAACACTGCGAGTGCCTCAGCCGGGCAAGTATGTGGTGGTTCTGGAGTACGCCAGCGAAGATGAGGCCCTGCAGAGCGTCACTGTGATGATAGGCGACCAGCCTGCGGGTGCCACTCAGGGGAGAGTCAATATATTCAGCTGCAAATACAGGTCTGGCTGCTGAGTGGGTTGTCACCACGAGCAATTTTCTTTTTCAGTCTACTGTACATTTTAGCTTCAATGCAGGGTGTGAGTTTCAGTAAAATGAGATATTTCAGCACCTGGCTCTTTCTTTTGTCCAGCTTCCTGTGCCGCAGTGCTGCCGTTGATGAACAGAATCGCATTGCCGTCTATGAGCTGCCTCATAAATTCGAGCTGCTGCTCCAGGCCTCCACAGCTCGTTTCCTCCTGGTAAGAGCTCGTCAGCGCCACACCCTGATTCCAATAAAACAGCATGTTCAGTCCTTGTCCTCTTCTTGGTGTGGTTTTTGGCCCTGGTGTTAAGATTTACTTTTGAGTTTGAGCAGAGTATTTCTTCAGTACATCTACAGTTTGCCCTTTTAAGATCTGTTTAACCTCCACAATTAGGTGCTTTCACCAGCTCGTTATAACGGTATGTTATCTGGTGAAAACTTTGTTCTTATTTTGTAACACTAGAGTGCCTTACAATGCATTTTATCAGTGACAAAAAAGATAAATCCTTCTGTATTTATTCACAGCATATTTATTTCTTAAAAGTGGACTGTGATTTTCTTTGAATATTGAAACGATTACAGGGCATATTAAGGAGATCAGCTGGCCACATGCTGTACACCTTTGTCTTACACCACTCTGCAGTAACATTTATCCCAGGATCCATCTGGCTCACTCCTTTTCTTAACCTTCACTTCTTGATTGGAGACACAACCGTTTCTGAGCTTATGTCGTTTCAATTTGTGTTTAGCTGTTAAAGTTTGAAGAAGCTGATGCTTGTCATCTTGCAGTCTGAGGCCGTTATCAGTTACATGTTTAAATCATTTCTGCATAAAGGGTTAAAACACATTTCTGTAATAGATATTGGGTGTTTTGATAGGGGATGTTTTAATTACTCCTGTAAATATTTATTCTCAGCAGAAACTTTAGAAATTAAGCAAACAGTTAGTATCACTGTTTTTTTGCATAATGTCCAGAGGCAGCCTTTCCCTTGACACAACTTGCCATATTGTACTGAAGGAGGATGGGATTGCATTTCTTTTACAAAAAGTGGTGCGCAGATCTCAAAATGGAGTCAAGCATATCACTGTGATGTACGATTACCATCCATTCCTCTCTCTGCCTATCTGTTTGTATATTTAAAGTATTGTAATGCCTAAGAAATTTCTAATTTCCTGTTGGACTAAGTGTCTATGTGATCATGTTATTTTGTGAGACATTGAAAATATCTTGACCACTCGCTCTTCCCCCAGTACAAGGCTTATGTAGTTCCTGCGGAGGAATTCTCCACAGAGTATGTCAATCCAAAGGTCTTCTGCATTTCCACCCCTGGGCGCTTCTCTGAAGACAGGTAACGTCAATTTATGAACAGGTACTTTCCATAACATACTGCCTGGACTGCTTCCTCGAAGATGAGTGGAGATTTTCCAGTACTTTTGCTTCATAACAGAATTTGTTCTGAATTGTTTTTGTTTAATGCTGAATTCTGTTCTGAATTTGCTGGAAAGTATTTGTCAAGGTATGAAGATGACAGTTTTGCTGGAGACACTGGAGAACTAGTGTTGGTGGGAAACAAAAGTAAAATTAATATCAGACCGTATTACCATTTTCAAACCATATTACCATATTTCAAAACATGAGTTTGAAGTTTTTCAAACATAAAACACAGTTTGATGATTTAGAATAGGCTCTAATTTGAAACAAAAAAATGAATTTAATTTTGCAAATTAAAATTTTAATTTTGCAGAACGATAAGCATGAACAGAATCATATGGAAGCAAAACTTCTGTTATTCTGTGATTGTCTATTAAAAGAGGATTCTCTGTGCAAAGTAATGATTTGGATCCACATAATTTGACTGTTTAAAAACCAAACTGATTAAAGTTACTTTGTGTCTGTGGTGAAGCCTTTGGCTCCTATTTGTAAAACAGTTACTGTAAGTAACCTCCAATGGAGATTTCACTGCCTAAGTGTATTGAATCTAGGGCCCTTTGTACCTCAAAATGCACTCATGAAATGTAGTTACTTAGTTACTTATGAACTTTATTAAGCTATTTAAAACTAGCTATTTAAAAACTGAACAGATGTTCTTCAGGTTTGTAATGTTCCTTGAACCATGAAGCCAAAATTACAACATCTAAACTAAGTTAAACTCATTAAAAACTAAAAGCTAATGGGAATTCCAAATCAATGTGGAATCCTGTTTCTCCTCCCAAAAGGTAATAGCTTATTTATGTAAATAATCTAAGCACATCCAGCTGCTCCAAGCAGTATGGGAGTGTACTTCAAAGTAAGTACACACTAGAAGGAGACCCCTTAATGAGGGATTGTATTTTAAACAAAAACACTCATAATGTGCAGTTGAACCTTGGTCACTGCAAAAAACTATTTTAAGGAGAGTGACAAATGCTTAGAATAGAGCCGTTGATGGGCCCTTTAAAACCAGACAATAATAAAAAAACATGAAAACACATACTGTAGGAAGCAAGTTTCTGATATCAGATAGCGCTTGAAAAAAAGCGCTTATGGTTGAATGATCCAGATTCTGTCTGACATGCTAGTGGAGAAAAAAAGAGATCAGAGTAAAATTGGCTTCTGGAAGACATTAGGATAATGGGCAAAGTACAGACTGCAGCGACTGTGAGTGATTACATTTAATTTATTTGGTTAATTTTTAGGATCATGTAAACAGAATGTGTATGAAGTATGCGTACTAAGATGCCGTGTGGGGCAGTTTACAACAGGGCCAATCAGTCTGAGGCAGGTCCCTGATTACAGACAGCCCAACACAGGTTTGAAGTCCAAAGAGCAGCTCCTTTACAGGTGGATTTATTTACAAGCGCCGCATTCAGACAAAATGGTACAATAAACACAATCTAGCCCTACCAGGCTAGTCTTGGGCATGGGGTTTCGCTCCCTTATAATCATACATCTTTAATTATGCCGCAGGAATTCCCTTGCCCTGTACAGCAGCTGTTAATACAGCCTGGCAGCTTGCTTCATGCCTGGTAACTTTCCCCAAAGGCTTTGCGGTTCCAGTCGGCACACCGGCTCCAGTACTGGCGCAGTGGTTTCACCTTCCAAGCACAGCAGCTTTATTTTGTCCTGGCTCTCTACAGTTTCCATTTGGTTTCAGTTCGTTCATTCTTTCATTCTGTAGTATCTGAATTGCATCGTAAGAAAGGCGAGCTTATGGCTGATTGTTGTGGAAGTTTTCCACAGTACCAAAAAACTATTCCTCAAAGCTCAAGGAAACTAAACGCACACCTACACAAGCACATCAAAACCATTACGCTCTAATTTTGAAAACTAAAACTTCTTGAATTTTCATGGATGAACATTGGCGATTGGCCATCTTAAAGGCAAACGCACAATTTATGTAAACAAAACAGCGTGGTTTTCAAATAGTAG